GCCAATGGAAAGAGGAGCTTAAAGAAAATAAAAAGAAAAAGGAAAAACCTAAACCTCAGTTTCTAAGGAACACAAGATTCTTATGTTTCTGGGATGGGCAGTGACTTTGAGGTTTTGTATTTTTGTTTGTTTATTAAACAGTTTGGCTAAAAGTCGTAATTCTCTTTTGCTAGTAAAAAAAATTTTTCTGCCTTGTTTTTTTCTACAGATTGCAAACTCTTTTAGTATGGGACAAAGGATGGTGTTTGTAAATGGCTTCCTGCACTTCAGTGGCTTTTAGCAGATGATAGCTATTTCTGCTACTACCAGGTTAGCCGCTCCCCAGAACCTTTGCTGCGACTCCCTGCCCCATTCTCCTATAGACCCTTTACACCCCGCCTCCACCCTAAATCAATGGACGCGTCGCCGCCTCGCGCCCCCCGCGCCGCGACGCAGATGGAACGGCCCGTGACGTCACGAGGCCGCGGCTCAATCAGAAGCGGCATTTGGGAAAATTTAAACTTAAAGGCGGGGTGGTCCGTGTCCTGCGGTTCGTCCGCCGTGGAGGTCCTCCGCCGGTTCCCTGGGATCTGGCTTGATAGGATGGCGGAGGAAGGAGCTGTCGCCGTCTGCGTGCGGGTCCGGCCGCTCAACAGCAGGTAGGTGTGCCAGCCTGTGACCAGCCCCCGCGGGTCCCGAGCCGGAGGGGGAGTCCGCGTTTCCCAGAGCTGCTGCTTCCGGACCCCGCTGCTTGGTGACCCTGCTGCTTGGTGACCCTGCCGCTTACCTGCTGCGGGCCGGGTTTCCTTATCTGTAAAGTGACGCGGAGGGATTAGAGGATGTAGAAGATACTTCCGAGCTGCGGTGTCTCTTACATCGAATACCACTCTGTCTCGCCGACGTTACAGATCTTTAGCCTGCGCGGCAGGGCATTTCCCGGATCTGCGACCACCCACTCCACCCTACCCCTTAGGGAAGTCGTATCGAAAAGATCCTTACTCGCACTCATCACAGTTATTTTACACTTAACTGTGTCTCCCTCTTTGCTGTATTCTCCTTGAGAGCAAGAACTAGTTTCTCTTTTTGCATCATATTCAGTAGGCACTCAAGACTTCAGACAATGACTGAATTCAGCATTCAGAAATTTGAATCACTGATATTTATCAACGTGGATTTTTTTTTTTTTTTAGTACAGTAGTACAGTGTGCTGCACTGAACAGACACTGCCATCGTTGCCCTGTGGATCTTACATTGGGGCGGGTAGGGGGGAGACAGAAAATAAAGTAAAAGATAAAGAATGTTAAACGTTGATATGGGAGTAATAAATGCTGTAGAGAAAAGGCAGGAAGAGAAGGAAATAGTCATTTTTGCTTCTCTAGTCTCTGACCTTCGCCCCAGAATACTAATTTTGTGTTTGAGAAATATTTGTTTAATTTTACTGGGTGCTTAATAAATGAGAATAGCAAGATGGAGAATTTTCTATTTTTAAGGAGCACATTATCTAATGCATTAGAAGACAGCTACATAAAGAAACTATTACAATGCATCCTGACAAGTGTTACAGTAAGCAATTGGAGAGTGCTTCAGTGAAATGACAGTTTGGGGGAGACGAGGGGCCCGTGTGCGGAAACTGCTGACCATTTTCATGATTGAAAAAATAGTTAAATTATTTAATGGAAAGGTTAGGGTATTCCAAGTAAAGAGGGGTTGAATCTATTATGTGATGAAAACTTTCAGCTAGTTGAGTTGTATGGAATTAGGATGTATATAGGAATTTAGAGGAAGATAAGGTTGAAGAGAGAAATAAACATGATCCAGGTCTCATGTGCCATATTAAGGATTTCAGATGACTTTTAAAGGTTTTAAGTGAGAGCAACATAATCAAAGTTGCATTTGAATGTACGTTTTCAGCTGTCAGCTCTGGGTAAGTGAAAAGCTTCATGAGGAAAATCCCATGGGAGGGCAGAAGGTTCCTGAAACCCCATTTAAAAATATTGATCCTTCAAAGGTGGATTTTCCGTATTTCTCTTACATATGGTATAAGTCATTACCATATACACTTTAAAATATTCTTTAGATGAAATATTTTAAATGATCTTTCATATAATATAGTTTCTATGACCAGTTATACTAAAATGCAATGTTTTATTCTTTTAGAGAAGAAGCTCTTGGAGAAGCTACCCAAGTTTATTGGAAAACTGACAATAATGCTATTTATCAAGTGGATGGGAGTAAATCCTTCAATTTTGGTAAGCTTATAATAGCATCAAAAGTTAACCTGTTATCCTTTTCCTATTAAGAGTACAAAAGGCTTGTCAGTAGTACTGGATTTTTCATTAAGGATGAGACTAAGGCTTCTGTAAACTGCTTCATTGGAAACTTTAAAAAATTGTTCATCCATAATGTATGATAAGATAATAAATTGATATTTAAAACAGTTATAGTAAGAGTGCTTTATGACTAGAACTATAATTTTTTTCCCTTATGCATTAGTGTATTTGTGGCCTAAAGCTCTGTAAGCCCAAAATATGTTCCTTAATGTCATCTTTAAGGTCTTTCAGTTTAGTATATTCTTTCTACAATTATTTTCAAGAAATCTCTTTAAAGAATAAATAGTGAAGATATTCCTTCTTTGTCTGCTGGAATACAGCAAGAATCCACCCCTTCTTTTGTGGAGTTTATCATATGATGGGAAGAAAGGCTATAAACAAGTAATTACACTTATGATGACGTAAGTTTTGTGGGAGATTATTGCAGGGGATCTAACTATTCTAGGTGTCTGAGAGGGTGCACTTAAATTGGGACCTGCTGATAAGTAATAGCTAGCTAAGACAAAGGGACTTGGAGGCCCTAAAGTTTGGCTAGGCTGACTGTTGTACTGATTTAACATGTACGTAGTGCTGCCAACGTGCCAGACACTGTTCTAAGCACTTCATAATAAATCATTTAATTCTCTAAAAAGCCTATGCAGTAGGTACTATGTGATAGGTACCTTTCCATTTTAAAGCAGAACTGAAACAGGACCACAGTCACACAGCCAGCAAGTGAAAGAGTCAGGCTCCCGATCTGTGTTCCAGCCACACTACCGTGCTGCCACTTAGGCACCACAGAGCAACAGTGAGCTCCTCTCAACCTTAAGAGTGATTAGGTTGTCAAATTAGGGTTAAGCCAGAAAGGCAATACATAGGGTTCTGGAGCAAAGATGTACAGTAGAGAAACTGAGTCCTGGTAAGGACCATTTGAGGGTACTAACATAATTTTTGAAAAGGTAAAACAGTATATGCACCAGAGATTATAAAACCAAGAGTAAGGGATGCACTAGCATTTAGACTCAGGTACTACAGTAGGTTGTTGGTAGTCATTGATGTCCATAGAGGATTTTGACTCATCCACCACCTACCTGAAGCAGATAGCATTAACATTTGAATCATCCTCTAAGGGATGCACTAGCATTTAGACTCAGGTACTACAATAGGTTGTTGGTAGTCATTGATGTCCATAGAAGATTTTGACTCATCCACCTACCTGAAGCAGATAGCATTAAGATTTGAATCATCCTGCCATCTCTCCTTGCTCAGAATTCATGATATCTCAGAAGCCTTCAGATGGCACTTATGATTCTGCTGACAGGATAGATATGTGATCACGGTGCAAGCAGTGTGATCACTGAATTTCTCATTGCAGGTCATACATTTACCTCCTGATTCACAAATCCGTTTCTTGGAACATTTTTAATGTGAGGCTAGCACTGTAAGGGTGGTCCATTTTTAATGTGCTAACAAAGGCAGAGAACCACATCCTAGACTAGTGAACTCATCAGTGTAAAAACCCTAAACCCATCCTCTAGCTGCCAGCCAACTGGTTGTTCCCTGTAAATTCAGCTTTTTTCAGTACTTTTCTTCCAAATGTCTGCATTTCTTTATTTAGTTTGAGCTTGGCCTTCTTGCTAGATATGTTATAAACAGTTCTCATTTCCTAACTATTTACCATATGTTCACAATAATTCTATAAGGAAATAATACAGTATGTCCATTTTATAAATTAAGGAACCAAGGCACAGAGACATCAACTACCTTGCCCAAAGTCACACAGCTTGTAAGGGGCAGTACCAGGATTTGCAGACAATCTGATTCTAGACCCCCATATTCAGCCACTATGTCTTACTGCCTCTTGAAAGCTCAGAGCATAGCTGACTTGTATTTTTTCTGTGTGAGGACCAACATTTTACCTTATAGAGAAGTGTATTTTCAGAAGACCAAGAAGTTGAAGAAAATATTGTGTCTTAAATATTTTATCATACCATATAAAATAACAATTTTATTTTTTTAGACAACTACTATACATAGTTTATATATTTGGTTTAACTTCTGTTTTCTGTTGTTTTTTTAGATCGTGTCTTTCATAGCAATGAAACTACTAAAAATGTTTATGAAGAAATAGCAGTACCGATCATAGATTCTGCCATACAAGGCTACAATGGTTTGTATTCATTGCAGAAACATTTTAGTCTTTGGTGTCTGTTCAACGAGTATTAATAGTTTTAGATTCATCTTTAATCTTTGCGTGTGTCTTTTTGTTTTTGCAGGTACTGTATTTGCCTATGGGCAGACAGCTTCAGGAAAAACATATACTATGATGGGTTCAGATGATTATTTGGGGGTAATACCCAGGGCAATTCATGACATTTTTCAAAAAATTAAGAAGGTAAATAACTTACCTACATGTCTAGTACATACAGGTAAAAGTAGTAATAATAGAATAGCAACCTTAGTGTTCTCTTGTAATGATGAAAGGAAGTAGATTTACAGTTATCTCCTGATTATCCATGGGAAAGGAAGAAAGGCATGGCATAAGTTTATTTCTTTCCCATAAACTTACTTCATAGAGCTTAAAGTTCTTTGTTCTTTCCTTTGGATCCTGAAACAGTAACACTCCCACCACAAAGTGGGCATACAGGAACCGGAAGGTCTTCTCAGAAGGGTTAGCGCCTCATTTCCTTTGTTTAACTACCAGCGATTATCAAGGAGCAGAAAAAGTAGATAACAGCAGAGGGCCAGATAAGGCAACCTAATTAGTTAAGAGTTGGTTTTATTTAAATTAGTTTTTTCCATTATTTTAATGATTTTAATGTTCTTATTTGAACATCTCTTGGTAGGGTTTTATTTTGAGCTTATAGAGTTGGACTAGGCACTCTCTTCTATTTCTATGATACTATATCTTTCATTATTTCTGAACCAATGCGTTTGCTTTTATATTTTTGTCAGTACAGATCCATAGGGGGATTTTTGTCAGTACAGACCCATAGGGGGATTTTGTTTGTTTGTTTTTTGTTTTTCAAAGATAACTTCTCAATATGTTAATATTTAATATTAGCACATAGGCATTCAGTATTAAGTTTTCATAACTGATTGATCTCTGATGTTTTTATGTATTTTTTTTCTTCTAGTTTCCTGATAGGGAATTTCTCTTACGTGTGTCTTATATGGAGATATACAATGAAACTATTACAGACTTACTCTGTAACACTCAAAAAATGAAGCCTTTAATAATTCGGGAAGACGTCAATGTAAGTTGCAGAGTTAACAAAGTGGCTCAAAAAATAGACTTACTTATTGAGATTATTACTCTTGAACATTTACCTTTAATTTCTATATTTTTTAAAGTGTTTCCTGTATCTACAGTTTGTTTTGTTTTGTTTCCTTTCTTAAGAGTTTATAGAGATCATCTTTTAAGCAGTGTATATAGTATTAAAAGATTGAAAGCTGTAATATTTTGCTTCAATATAGCAAATAAATCGTAAACACTATGGGTTTACTTGTTATTTTCATACTGTAGTTAGCACTTTGTGCTTTTAACTTCTACAGTTGAATTCTATCATGGTTATCATGGTTTCTCCTTTTTGAGATGCAAACTTGTAAGTGACTTCTATTTCTCTACTCTTTCCATAATTAAACTTGTTTCAGAGGAATGTGTATGTGTCTGATCTCACAGAAGAAGTTGTTTATACACCAGAAATGGCTTTGAAGTGGATCACAAAGGGAGAAAGTAAGACTTTATGCTGTATGTCTTCAAAACACTTGTAAAAACTTCAGCTGAATGTATTTAGTCTTCACATCACACTTTTCACTTTTAAGCTAAAATAAAAGTTAATGTTTTTCTTTGGATTTTAATATGCACAGCTAAAATATGACTTAATTTTATTTTATTTTTTTACAGAGAATAGACATTATGGAATTACAAAAATGAATCAAAGAAGCAGCCGTTCTCATACCATTTTTAGGATGGTAGGTAATTCTCTGTCTGTTTGGTCTTTCCAGTTAAGAATGCACTAATTTTTCTACAAGTTGCCTTTTCCATCTAGATTTTGGAAAGCAGAGAAAAAGGTGAACCTTCTAATTGTGAAGGATCTGTCAAGGTGTCCCATTTGGTGAGTATCGATGAACCATGGTAATGTACCATGTGGACCAAAGCAAAATTTAATTCAGCTACGGGATGTTTGGTTTCATAAGACCTATTAACTGAACTAAATAGTTAAAATCATCTATAAACTGGAAGTTTAACAAGTGTCATCTGTAGCATGAAATCACTAGCTGAAATGTAGGAAGAATTCAGAGGATCTTCCTATTATGTTATGTCTACCATCTCCTAAAATTTATATGTAAGGACTGTAGGATTTGAGACTTTTCCTAACCAATAATGGAGGGTTTGTGTGTGTGTTTGTGTATGTGTACGTACGTGTACACATTTAAAAGTTAAAGTAATCTTGGAATTTGGTGTGTTGGGGGTGTTTTTATCTTTTTAGTCTCTGCCAATAGAATTGAGACTTGCATGATAAAAAACCTACGTGGGATGGTTTAAAAATAAATCTCATCATTTGAGTTCTTTCCTAAGTACTAGAAGAAAACATGTTTTATATTATAAACAGCATTTTAGACTAAATCTCTTGAAGGGAAGAATGATATCTTCTTTATCTTTGTATCTCCAATACATTGTACCTAGTTTATATTCAATACCTGTTTGTCAAATAAGTGACTGTAAGCATTATGCAGACATTCCTTTTTCCACATAAATAAACCCCCCATTGTTGTGTACTACATCATTTCTCTCTTTTTTTTCATGCTTTCTTCCTATTCCTTACCATTATTGCTTTATTCTGTCTTCAGAGGCTAAATTCTTTAGCATGATGTGGGATGATTTAAGATTACTCTGTTTGATTTGAAAACTTCAGGGAAAAAAGTATAAATCTATAAGTTTATTCACTTTGAGATTTTGAAAAATCAAGAGTCTTAATTAAACACTAAGTCTAGTTCACCTAAGTTACTTTATTATACAAGTATAAAATTTATTTTAGTAGACTAGTCTTTAACAACAAAAAAAACACAAAACGTAACTTCTGTTTTCCAGACCTGGCCTGTGACATTTCACTACAGTTTCCACTTCTCTCTTAATAATTTAGCTTTAATAATCTTGACATATTCAGTGACCCATTTGGTGACATTTCTCATATTCTTTGATGTTCTATCATCTAGGGACCA